ATCTTAGCAATAAATGTCAAATATGCAACACCAGGACTAGCAACAGGCATCGGCGTGAGTTCTACGTTTAATATTTGGATACCTTGGTTTGGTGCGTTACATTGTTCCCACTCTAATTTGTTATATACACATTGAACATAACTCACAGCCCAAATCGTGAAAATAGTGGTAAATTTCAGCATTTTTATCCTAAAAAATTAAACAATTTGGGATAGTTTCAATTGTTATGAGTTACTTTTTCTGCTTAGTCAAAGTCGATGCCTTGAATGAGGATGTGATAAGAAAGAAAATTATCTTCTGCATTAGTAAAACTGATACAAAAACAGGTATCACGATTCTATTTTCGTCAGGTTGTAGCATAATATTAGGCCTACTCTAAAGAAAATATGAGCTCTCTAATCCTTTTTCTTGATTGATTTTAAAAATCTTTTAAAAACTAATCGTTTCTAAGAGGTAATGAGAGACTATATATTGACTTTTCTCCATGTTAAACGTTTTTAGTGTAACATTTTTTATTCTAACATAGTGAGAAGAAGCAAATTATTGACTGCATGATGAAAACAAGTGTCATAAAAAATTTTGAAGTTCTAGACCTTGAAGTTTGAGAATAGCGATTTTAAAAAATGTCTAAAACTATAACTTTCTATAACTAAAGTTACCTACTATGCACGTTAATCAGAGGTTAAACTGTGTAACAATCAAGCAATAATAGTTTTTTCTTTTCCTGCTTAGACTTATATAACGATATAATGATCGATCGGCTTCTCCATCAAATTAGCGTTAGCGCCTGTCCCTTAAATCCCGACCTCTTTCGAACTGATCTGACTTCTAGTAGTCTCTTCGCATACGGAAAGGTTCAAACAGTTATGTATTTTCTTCTGAAGTGTCGGTTCACATTACTTACACTCTCGGCCAAAAAATTCGAAAAAAATGAGTCATTTTCAAAGAAAAAATAATATTTCAAAAAAGAAAAAAAATTAAAAAACTAAATCTATAATTTTGTTCTATGTTTCATGGCGGTTCGAATGGTGTAAGAATGAAGGTTTTACCTTTCGATATGAGGTCGGTGATAGGTTTGTAACCGAAAGGTGTCAAAATCAGAGATCTCTAAAGTTTACCAAAGTTCCAACACTTCTCGTAGCTCTGGAACCTCAAAATACACTTCTCTATACGCACTTTGATCCGCTGATTACGAAAAACACCTTCCGAAGGCTTGAGGCCCCCAATAATAAAACAACATTTTTTTAACCAGCAAAATGATCAAAAGGATTTTGGCAAAAAGGCGGCACTGCTTTTTTGGTTCACATCCACCAAAAGAATTCTTCCTAGCAAACTTCATCGAAAAGAATGATTCTAAAGGTTTTTTGACACCTTTATAATCTTGAGTGATTCGGGCCAGTCCTGGTGATATGTTCGCAAACAGAAAACAAAACGCCATCAAAATTTAAGAAAAAACCAAACTTATGCAAAATGCGAAAAGTGTGTTACCAGTAAACGAGTGCTCCGTTTTCAGAATTAAGAGCTCCGTCTATTCTAAGTATCCCCATGAGTATTTTTTTCGCATAAAACTTCGGTGGACCGCGGTTGCAAAAGTCGACCGCGAGAAACTAGGCGTTACGGGGGTGTATCTGAGCCCTAAACAAAATGTCGTATCCGTTTCGTTTTCTTTCCTTTCTGCGCTGAGAAAATTCATGTTTTCAAAATCAGAAGGGAAAAAGTCGGAAACCTGCCCATAATTCTCTCTCAACGTTTGAACAATACAAATATCATATTCAGAATCAGGATAAAAAACTGAGTCGACTGATGTGTATTTCGAAAATTTTAGCTGGTTCTCAGTTTTGGGTGAAAATCTCGGTAATTTTTTAACTCGAAAATTGGAAAAAAGCTAAAGTACTCGGATAGGATAGAAATACAACAAATGATTGTTGATATTAGAGCAGAAAGATTATTATGAAAAATTTGTAGCCATTGTATCGGCAACATGGATTTTCGGTCCTAGTAGTTATAACTCATCAGAGAAGCAAATATGTGTATTTTTCCGTTTCACTACAGAAAAAACTCATTCATTCCGATTTAGAGTTGAAAAAGAGAAGCTAAGGATGTCGTTCCCATTCAAGAAAAATCTCACATGGATCTATTACTACAAATGTATCTGCAGTGTTAAAGTATCAAAACTGTTTGTAAACGAAATAAACGATGACAGGAAGAAAAATAACTAGGAAAAAGTTATATAAAATGAATAATAAAAAACAACAACAACACCATTTTGTTTCTGTTACTGGTTGCTTCCCTTTGCTAATAAAGAGCGCTGAAATATTAAGTTCAATGCAGTAGAATCCATGTTTCCTTAGCTTTAATGTAAAGTATAATCATTAATATTGATTGAGGCAAAGGTAGGTAAACCTTTACACACTACGAGATGGAGTTTGTGCGTCATACATTGTATCCGTTGAACGTCATTACGTGAAAAATATCCAAATGCTCCCATAAGATTATTGATACCGTCGCACGTTATTGTAGTTATTTTATCAAAAACATGCAATTCTTTTAATTGCTTTTCAATTTCTGTATCGATATTGAGGGAGAAATGCCGATGTTCAACTTTGGAAAAACTTAATATACATGAATTCAATTTAAATCGTTCGTCTATATAATGACCGGTCAACACCACATAACAGCTCATTTTTCTATCGGTCCAAAAATCCAACGTTATGGCAATATGAGCAATTTTTTCCAGAGTTTTAATCAGCGTAACAGCTGCTTGAATATGCAATCTTTTGAGTCGGCGTTTAACATTATGTCGACCGGAGGGTACAAAGCCTAAAATAAAAATAATAACTGTGTATTGTCTTTCAACGGATGACATTCATTATGCAATATCTCTACTAGGAATTTTTAAGAGAACTTAGTAATCTACAAATCATGGAGAGTAAACTAGTAACTATTTTGATTAACAAGTCTATGTCCGATAGTTTTTTGAAAGATTAAGGTTGTGTGCTTTTTTGTGTCTAAACAAAAAATTCTGTAGTATAGTAGTCTTCATGCTTCACTATTCGACGCCTAAAATATCATCATCTCCTATTTCAATTGATTTGTAGGAATAGATCGTATGTGTTGTAATTGCTTGCCGAAATACGATGCATTGACCTATAACGATATATGCAGTGCTTGGTTACATCGGGAAATGAAATGACAGTAAAATGTAGTGTGAAGTCACTAAGCTTTTATTTTATAAGTATATCAGCGCCTATACTGAGGTAAAGATACCTAAGTAAATCGTATGCATTGATTCCACAATAAATGAGTTTTAATAATGATGAAATCGAAGGCTTTGTAAAAATGTTGGGCCATAATATCCTTGATACGTTTTTGCACCTACTGTAAAAATATATTTTTGTTAGAACTGAATATTACGCTACACCTTTATTGATTTTTTTCAACGCATGATCGTACGTGCTGATCGACCGCAGACGAAAACTTCTGTCTTATCTTCTCAGAAAAAATTATGATGGTCGTCTTTAGTTAAACATGTTATCTGTATGCTGTGTTCCTTTTCCTCAATAAAGCATGCAGATTATCTGTGAACCAGGGTTGATCACCATGTTTAATTCTAAAAATTTTATTCGGAATTCATTTATCAGCGGCTTCAACTAATGAACTCATCAACTTGACAAGCTAAATTATTTTTACTGTTAAATATATGACTAATAGAAAGTAATAAATAAAAAAGCGTGAGATGAAAGTAATTCCAATCACCGTTTTGCAAGTATATATCCTTCTCGTAAATGATGATTTGTCTGTTATCTGACTGCTGATATTAAAGCCAACTATGACATGATCACAGTTTTCATATAAAAAATCTTCAACCTTTCGTACTACTAAAGATAAGGTGGGTATCAACAAAAATCAAATCTAAACAAGTATCAGATAGCGCCTTTTTATTTGGTCATCTAACGAGTTCGCTAACAAATTGAAGAAGATTCTTTTTGTCGAAAACGCATAAAGGGTCTCTCCTTCTCGTGTTGTTTTTTTCGTCTTGCACCACTTCGCACAATGTCCATTAAAATCACCATCTCTATCATTTCTCATAGATCTAAACCCAGGTATATCCAATTTATCTGTTGTCACCATGTAATCATGGAATAACATCGTTGCTTTCCTTCACCATTTGTTCTGTATTTTGGATGACAAGGCTCTTTCTCCGGACCTCTTGTTGCAAACCTCAGTGTACGTGAGGCATTATTACTTTATGCCTAAAATCGAAACTGACCGAAAATTTACCAAAGATAAAGCTGGATTCCTATATGAGCAAAAAATATGCCTTTTTCACCCAAAAATAGCCTTTAAATCGCTGGAAAGATTGATCAATCTAGGTTTTTTGGGTTAACAAGAGCATAGAGGACAATTTCTAGTATTACTAGAAATTGTTGAAACAGATATTGCTTTAAAATCAATATCTGATGAGTTCATTTCTAATTTTCTTTCCAATCTTTGATGAAGTTATAGAGAATAACCAGAGTAATCAAGAATAACTTTAAAGCATTTTGCTTGTACTGGAAGACGGTTAGATCCCTGCTTGTCAGAATACTTCAGGCTAATTATTTTCTCGTGCGCACGAAATCCTAGTAGTGACGATATATAGAATTTCATCCTTGTTTCTTTCTTTTTCGGAGCTTCAGGTAAGGAATAATAAGTGGTATATTTGTATTTTAGCTCATCTAAACGATAGCAGTGATGACGACGATTAATACTAAAGACCCATCAGTAGATTTAACAGATAAACCATTACATCATTATTCACATTTGTTAAGCAATACTACTTGTATGCAATTTTTACAGTTGATACGTGATTCACAAATCAGTAAACAACAATTCGAACGTTTTTTATCTTTTAATAATGATATTCTTTCTCAACCACATTCCATGCCAGCCACAATGAATGAATTATTAATTAAATTGAATACTACCAATTATTTTTACAAAAGAACTGGTTGTATAATATGTCAAAAAGAAATGAACAACAAGGAAACAAATGTGATATATGTCCAGGAGCTGAATCCAAACACGCAGCCAGTATTGATGACACAAATTTTAGAAGTCCTTTATCAACAGTTGTAGGAAGATCATTAATTCAAATTCAACAGTATAAACGACAAATATCAACAGCAAATAGAAATAAAGAACAAAATTATGATATACCATTCGGAAAAACATGTCAGCAGCTATTAAAAAAACGAAACAAAGAAAATTTATTAAATCTAATAATACAGCTTGATGGTGTTGGTTTAGTGAAATCAACCAGTTTAAAAATGTGGGTATGCAGTGCATCTGTTATGAAGCTACCACCAAATATCAGGTCAAGAAGACATAACATGCCGTTATTATCAACCTATATTGGTCACACGGAATCAAATGCAAAATTGTGGCTTAGTTCTTGTTTTGGAATGTTAAAAAACGTTAAACGAGAAGATATGATTAGATCTTTCGAGCTTTAGCAGTGTTTTAGAAGCTATTCTTTTAAAAACGGAGTAGCTCCTAAAACACTGTGCCTGTAAAAGTTTCAAATGTTTGACCAGAGATGGTGAAGGTAGATAATAAAAAAATCTATAATTATTATATTTGTGCTACATATTGTATGTATTAAAGTACTTGCATTAGTGCAAAAAAACTTTAAAAACCTCAAAAGAATTCCACGTACTGCTTAGACATCATGTCACCTTTACGCGGTTAAGTAGATAAATATTTGGTAAACGCTAGACATGCACTTATCAATAGATCTGTCAGCTCTAACCTGTATCAGAGAAACTAACCGCATGACGATAAGATTTTCTACTTAGCTTTTAAAATTAATTCTCACGATCCATCTACAGCTACATCAGCATTCAATATAATCCTATATAGTGTTATCTGTGATTGTCCAGCATTAAAAATAATATTAAACGTGATCGGTCATACTGGCTACTGGTGTTGTTTTTATTGTAAACTTAAAGGTGTGCATGACATCCGTTGTCGAAAACGACAATACCCATATGAACAGCCGACCAATAGGCGTACGCACGAATCGTTTGCTTCCGATGCAAAATCAGCCAAAGACACAGGAAAAAACACATTTGGGCACATTGGTAAATGTATTTTAGAGGATGTTGTCGGTGTGCCCTTGCCAAAAGGAGTTTTATATGATTAAACCCATGTTTTGTTACTGAGACATTTCCGAGATGTCGTAAAAACTGTGTCTTCTTCTTTGTCTCTGGTAGTTCGGAAGCAAATAGATCAGAACTTACGTCGTCAAGTTTTTCCTCATTTTTTTAATCGCAGACTACGTGGTATAGCAGATTTTACATATATAAAAGCCAGTGAATTAAAATTTTATTTTTTACCACATATCGGATTTTTACTACATTTTTATTCGAGCCTGAATGTAGATCACGCAGCATTCATCGAGTTGTTCATATGTGGTATTCGATGCTTACATGGTGAGAAGTTATTTGATGAAAACACAAGTAACATTGCAAATGATTGATTAATAACCTATTATCAACACCATTCAGTATACTTTTCTCACCATTTAACTTTCGTGTTACATTTACATCAACATTATTCAACAAAGTGTGATCCTAACGGACAGTTATCAATTCTGAACACATTTGCACAAGAGGATCTGATAAGATATGTGGTAAAAAACAGAAATGGAAGAAGATTTTTTGGTGATTTAATTACTCATTACGAAAAAAACGTAGGACTAACTATGTAACAGAAAATATCTTTTCTTTATCCGACAAAAACAGCAACAAATATATATAACAAAAATAACAGCAATTTTATCACTAATAACAACAACAAAACATAAAAGAATACATTCTCGTAAATCAGATGTTTTCACTAAGAAATTAGTTGAATTTCAAGAATAGATTATTGATCGATTTAAGGTTGCTGTCTATCTGTTCCTTGTAATCCATTTGTAGCGTGTTCTTCATCTGTTGCTTGTTATAATTGTTGTTCTGCTTTTAATTCTTTTTCGAACATAGCACATAAACATTGTGTTAACGCCCTAAGCATACATTTTTGCCTCGAGAGTTATAGAGCACGGAACGTTATAGAGAGGATCCATTTCCATCGTTTGCACTAGTTTAAAGTACCCGAGTTGTACGTCATACTAGTGTATTGTTTAAAACAGGATCCCCGTTAGTTTTTGAGGCACATCGCGGTGAATATTACTGATTATCGTTTAAAAAAGCAAGTATTTGCAATGATCAGACAAACGGGAATATTGTTTTAAATATAACAACTATTTACGAGGGAACCTTTCCAAGTGTCGGACAAAATTTCCAATCGAAAGTCGTTCATTCGATTTTTCTGAACACACTTATTGGTAGAATACGAAATAAGTTTAGGGTGAGCACTCTTTTTCCTGAATGTATAAAATATGAACATTTTATGGAAAAAAAAAATTTCCATTTTCTTATTTTATACTTCAGAGAAACAAAAACGTTTCTACTACACGAAAACCTAAAACACCGATACTGGCAGTCGTATGACTAACGAACTACCGATGTCTCTGGAAAATGTCTAACTATTTTTGTATAAAAAACAAAGAGTAAGCTTTTTTCTGAAATGCCTTCTGTCACAAATAAAATATTTATATTTAATGTCACTGTTTTTATATTCTTCGTTTAACAATAGATGCTGATTGAATAATACTGTTCTCAATTTTCTTTTCAAATTCAATTTATTTACCGGTGAATAAATTCACCGATGCGAATTTTCACTGCTTCTCTAATATGACGCTAGGATTGTTATGACAGCTACACTATCATTCCTTTTGCCATGAAAGAATGTTGACTCAAAATAGTTGAGTCAATATTCTTTGGTCTCTTATATATATATAGGATATTGTTTAGTGAAGAGGAAGAGCTTTTTTGTTTCGGATCAAGATTTTCTGTTTTTTATTATTATTATTCGAATAAAACGAGTGGCGGCTAGCAAGGATGTTAAACAATTCACGCATGGCGAAGCAGTCGTCAATCTGTTTTTCTTTGGTGAACAAATATCATATACCAATTCGGTATTAAAAACTGTCTGTAACAACAAGGATTTTCATTTGAAAGTTTGAACCATGACTATTCCACGACCAAGCTTGTTTAGGCTATTTAATTTTTGGGGCTATTTAACTGCGCTTCTCAAACAGACATTCTAGTAGTTATCATAGTGCTCCAGCAGTATTTCTCTTTCATTTCTTCTATAGAATAATATATACTCGCAGTAATGTATACGTATGATTCATTCGCATAATTACCAACACAACTCATTTTTTTTCATTTTTCTTTTGTATTAATGCATGACTGATTATGTGCTATGCCTTTTTCAATCGGTACATATAAAAATTCTACAATACAAAACAAGTAAGAGAGCACTTAATGGCATCAGCGACGCAACCGTTAATAACAGATCAAGATGATAATGTTAATGGGAATATGTCTAAATACAGTACGATCCAAAATACCCATCCTTCTGCCGTCTCTGATGAAATGA